CTTTATCATAAATTTTTTTTCTAAATTAATAAATATCATATGTATATCCTCCTTATTTTCTCTAAACTTCTTTAGCAACCCTCTCAATAAATGAATAACTTTCATAGTAGACCAACCCGACATGAATCCAAATTGATTTTGAGAAACATTAGTATCACATCGTAAACATAATTTATCATTTTAAAGTATGACACAATGTTTACAATTGCGTATTCGGATTTGAGGCGTTTTTCATTCGTGAGGCGAGGCGTAAGCCTCAAAATTAAAAGATTGCGTAAACATAAAATGATAAATTTTTTATCTACTAATGAGTGAATAAAATAAAACATAAAGAATATAAGATATGAAGTGATATGAAAAATATCCCAATAATAAGACAATATGAAATATAGTTCAACTCAAAATTCTACCTTTCCCAAATCCCAGTATTCTTTTCATTAACATATAATTCCAATTTCTAAAAATAAATAGCAATAACATATCACATAAGAACTCATAAGTCATCAGCACTGTCATCACTAAGGGGTTCTTCATTTGAATCATCATTATGATGAACTGCTCTCTCCCCTTCCTCCTCTCCTATAGAGTCCAATGTCGGGCATTTACTTCGAGATTTATGTAAGTTGTAATATATATAGCGTGAGGCGTAAGCCTCTTGCCAGTGAGGCGAGGCGGGCCTCAAGGCGGGCCTCAACCAAGTTGAGGCACAAGCCTCTTAAAAAAAACTCGAGGCGTAAGCATCAATGCTTTGTTTACTGGAATTGCGCAAAAACGGGCCTCAAGGCGAGCCTCATATTGTGCAATTTTAAACCATGGTATGACATATCAACTTAATTCTTTTATAATTCGCACAATCTTGTGCACCACCTTTATTCTTAAAAATAGAAATCAACACACTCATTCTCCGCTATTTTGACATTTTTTTAGTCTTCAAAATAACATTAAAAAGTTTAGTAATCTAAGAAATTCTTTCATCTCCTAAGCATTTCCATCACCTCTATTGAAATATCATCAGGTTCACTAGTTTTTTCCAAACTTCATTTTCTTTAACGCCTCTTTAACTTCAGTTTTACTAATACGCTGATAAAAATAAAGATCTCTATTTTCATTTAGATTTCTAATGCCACTAAAGTCAATCATATTCTCATAATATTCATTGAAAAATTTAGCAAAATATCTTATCCATCTTTGTTGGATTTTCTTTTCTAATAAAAGTAATTTTTGATCTTCATCCTTAATGCACTTCACTTGAGCTAAATCCTTACTACTCCTATCTCTTTGTTTGGTTAACTTATACATATATCTCTCCCTCTTTAGAATCTAATATATTATATAAATTGTTAAAAGTTATAGTCTTTACATCGCAGATTGCTTTCTTAGACACCTTACGAGCCTTTTTATATCTTTCCTAATTTTCAGAGTTTTTACATCTAAACCAATTATTATAACAAAGCTTTTTATTTTTGTTTTTTTCTTGCACATTCTGATTCCACTATCAACTATTTTTATTATTATGAGCTTTTTCTTTTGAAACTCCTAGCACATCCTTTGTAACAATCTTAATATTACTAACTACTTTTTCCCACATAATATTCACTTCCTATTTATGTTAGTGTTCTTTAAATGCTCCTATCTAATCTTACTCTAAAAAATATTTGTGTTAGTGTTCTTTAAATGCTCATATCTAATCTTAAAACAATGTTTTACTATATTTTTCATATTATGCTCATTCATCTTAAAGTCCAAAACTAGTAAGTAATGTTAGGTACATAAACTTTCACACGGAATAACTTTTCAATCTTTACAATCTAAACGATCTATTTTTTTAATAAGAAAATAACAATCTAAGTTTTGCTATATCCATTATTATAAGTGATGAGATGTTCATCTTTTTTCTTAAATTAATTATTAGCAATTACAAAATCATAAGCTAGAGCAAAATTTAATATAGTCTTACCACCTTCATAATTGCTCCAAACACGTAGCCACCATGAATACTTTTACAATCCTCTGCCTCTCTACTAACATGTTGATGCGGACATCCGACGGTGGACGATATTCAAAGGAAGAGTCGAAGATCGACAGGCGAGATCACTCCTTTTTATTTTAGTTTATTAATTGTATCTTGATTTAATTTTGCTATTTTTCCTTTTTACCCTTTTATTTAAGAGTCTTGCCTTATGTAAGCCCAAGGGGCAAATTTATCTTTTAGTTTCTTTTGAGGCTTATATATAGAGGCCCTGTCTCTTGTATTAGGTATGATGGATTAATAAAAAAATTGTTCCTACACTTTGTTCTTGAGAGTAATGAGAGTTCTTAGGAGAGTGGAAGTCTCTATGTGAGGGCAATGAAATACTAACCAGCCGCAGTATGTTTCCGGGCTTGTGGTTGAAGTCCCTTTGTGAAGGGCAACGCAATACCCGTCAGTCTTTGGAAGAGTCTGAAACTCGCGGTTTATTTTGTTTTTATTTATCCTTTTTTTTTTCTAATCGTCATCTCCATCCTCTCTTCAATCCCGCCAGCTTCACCCCCCCCTCCAAATTCCCTCCATGAATTTTGAATTTCAAAATTCAAACCTCCCTTAATTATCTTGCTAAAATAGCTCATATCAATTTGGAAAGTGTCTTTATTTGAAATCAATTCTCCATTTGAATTTCAAATACTTTCCTCTTTGATAATCCTTAATTAGGAAGCCTCTCACAATTTCATCTTGTATACAAAGCCTTCCTATTTTATACATCATAATTTGGTAATGAATTTGAATTCAAAATTCAAATTAATTTAAATTTGAATTTGTTTCATAAATTAGGATATGATTTAAATTAATTAAATTAGGAAAGTTGTTTAAATTATGTTCAATTAAATTTTTGATTGGATTTGATTTCAATTAATCTTCCTCAATTTCGGTTTCCAATCAAGGCCCACTTTAATTCTCTTTCCCTAAACCCTCTTCTCTCTCTATTCGCCACCCCCTCTATCCTATCTTCTCTCTCTACTTTATTAATGCTTCTCTATTAAGGCCCCCAATTTTTCTCCTATTTTAATTAATTCCTTCCCAAAAAAAAAAAAAACTCCATTTAAGGAATTAATTAAGTACGCATTCCCTCACTTTTTCATTTAGTTTGAAATTCAAATTTCAAATGACCCCTCCCCCCATGTCCATTCTACATCACGTCTATTTAAATCTCCTCCAATAAAAACTTTCTTCAAGAGGTATCTTTTAAATTAATTATTCTAAGTCATTCCAGAATTTTAATTTTAAACACAAATTCAAAACTATTTGAGGAGCATAAGCACTGAAAAAATAGAGTATGATTGAAAATAAATATACAAGTGAAGCCTATATTAAGTATTTAGGAGAATACCCCTAACAGTGAGAAGTACTTTTATCCCTTTAGAAATAAAAATTATATACTTCGAGGCATAATATTGAATCCTACACTCCTTAAATCTCCAAAGAAATAACACAAGATGGGGACCAACTTGAAGCACTAGATAAAATATCAAAATTAATTACACATGCACATACAAATATTTATCTACAATAATTAGTTATTTTTGCCAAAGTTTACAGAAATATACAAAAATTAACTTATAATTAGAAATTCCACCATAGATCTAGAGTTTTAATATAAACTATTATCGATCAAAATACTGTGTTAAAACCTAAATTAAAATGTTCTTAACTTAATATAAATAAGTAAATGATGACATAATTATTAGCTTCATACAAGTCATTCTCTCATTTAATTCAAGTTATCTATTAGTTAATGTTATTAATATTAAAGGACTACTCCTATTTGCCTAACAATATAGAGAATACAAATCAAGAATGGTCTCAATAGTGGCTACAGCTCACCAAAGACCAAGATGATGATAATGATGATAATCCTGTGGGAGGGGAGAAGATTGTAACATTGGTGAAGCAGCGATAGTGACTCATGGTGAGCACAATGAATTGTAGAAGGAAATTCAAAGGAGTGTGAATATGACGAGGAGAAAAGGCATGGAAGTTGCGACTTGACAGGAAGAAATGAAGTAATGATGATTGATTGAGATTCACAGTAAAGAGAGGACTCACGACTTACGACTTTTGCCAGCTGTCGGGGAGAATAAGAGTTAATTGCATCACCCCTATCTTTATTCTCCTTATATAGTTAAATAAGGATGAAGATCATTGGAAACTGCATAAAATTGCTGGGCTTTTGCGAGTAGGTTGCGCTTGTGAGAAGAATCTACTTACACTCAAAAACACACACATGCATGTATGTGTACACAACTAACGTATTATGTTGAAAAAGTTTATTATCCACAGTTTTTTTCTGTTAGTATCTTCAAATGCTAGTTTAACATTATAGATGTTACTCTAAAATCTAAAAAATAACTTCGTTATCAAATTCAATCATTTTTATGAATTTTTGAGTGGTTATCAAAATTTAAAAATAGATGGCTTGTAATGCTACTAAAAGCGTTACTTTTGTATATTGAAACCAAATTCACTGAAATTATTCTTGGTGTTTTTGATACTTGCTAAAAAAATTTCATCTGATTTGAATAATTTCGGTATAAAATATTAAATCGTTTATCTCACTATCTAGATCTTCTGATATGGTGTCATCTTGATATTTCATGAAATTTGACATTATACAAATTTTTAGGGTGAAGTTTAAGCTAAATGGTTTTTCCGAGTGGATGTTGTATGATAGATAAATAAGCAAATATAAAATCACGTGGACAACTGTCTTTTTCCACTTAAAAGGATAGTAGCCTATCCCTATGTAGGTATGTTTGTTTGAATGTATGTATTATTTGCATGCACATATTTGGTTTCTTATACATTTAATTTCCTGTGATTTCATATTTATTATTTCTTGTTTTCTGATTTAAATGTTTCATTGACTAAAAATGGTAACAGCGTAGACATGACTCTCTTTATGTTTCATTGTTTTCCCATTTCTCACAACAGGCAACAATATTATGAACAAAATTTCTTTTTCTAGGTACCTGTGGATCTTGTCATTGATCACTCAGTCCAGGTTGATGTTGCCAGATCAGAAAATGCGGTCCAGGCAAATATGGAACTTGAATTCCAACGCAATAAGGAAAGATTTGCATTTTTGAAATGGGGATCAAATGCATTCCACAACATGCTTGTTGTTCCACCAGGGTCTGGGATAGTGCACCAGGTTATATGGCATCATGACTGTGGTTCTAAATATTTTCATGTTCATCATGACTGTGGTTTCTAGATATTTTCTGCTTTAGTTTATTGGCATTTACTTATTAGGGTAGAATTCTGAGTAGAACTGCGATGGATGACAGTGTTTGATGTACCCCATGATCTAATACCTATTGATACAACTTTTGCAGGTGAATCTTGAATATCTTGGTCGTGTTGTTTTCAACAGTGGGGGGATTCTTTATCCAGACAGCGTGGTTGGGACTGACTCTCACACAACTATGATTGATGGGTTAGGTGTTGCTGGCTGGGGAGTTGGCGGAATAGAAGCTGAAGCTGCAATGCTTGGTCAGGTATGGAAGGTTTACTTTTGGCAATTGAGCTGCTCCATTTCTATTATCCTTTCTTTAAAAATAAAATTTAAACATGTTTGTGTTTTTCCACATTTATTGTTTAAAGTGTGTTGTTGTTCTTTTACCTGTCTTCTTAGAGGTTATCACATTACTTTGTTGTGATGATGATGTCATTATAATTGTGCATGCGTTTTCGTCTATTGAATTTGTACGTTTGTTTATCTTGATTTTTATATCCAAGATCTATGAAATCCTTGGGTGATCCTGATTTTACAAGTCGGTTTTGATCGGAATATTTTATACTGCCTTGTACATTAGTCCATCTAGTGTGGGAGCGCAATTCTATAGTTTGATCGGAATATTTAAGTTCTTGACTATGCGGTTATCTATAGCCTCTCTTGTTTCACGGTAGAAATCCAGACTCCTAAAGTAACATCAAGTTCCATCTTCAACCTAGATAAAATATTTAGTTTGCCTCAAGGTAATCTCTTGCCAATCACGTTTACTGGATACACAGCATAACTAATTTTTTAAAACTTTTTTTTTTTAATCTGTTATGCATCCAAGGTTTTCTAATGCATATCTTGGATGAACTGTACATAACGACATACATAAGGTCAATTTGTTGTCACAAAAAATTAATTTAGACAATTATTGATACTTTAGATGAATACAAAAAGTTCATGCAAATGATAATTTTGCAGTTACAACAACACACAACAACATCAAGCCTTTATCTATGCGGGCTCGGCTACATGAGTCCTTTTTTTCCATTGTGTCATGTTAAGATTAAAATTTCAATTAAATCTAATAAAGAAATGTCATTTCTAATATTCTCTAACTAAGTCTTCTTAGGCCTGCCTCTACCTTTCTTAATATAAGCCAAATCTAATGCATCTCTCTTCTAACTAGGTAAAAATCCTACATTAAGATTTAAAATCATAAAAGTATCATGCATTCAATTATAGACTAATGCTACAATCATATTGTACTAGATTTGCAATATTGAATCACACAAAAAACCATTAACTAAAATTAGAGAACAAAAATAGAGCAAATAAAGGAAATCACCAAATAACACTTCAGACCTTGTTCCGACACAAGTAGATTGTAGGAAATACTTGAGTTCGCAAGCAAACCTAACAATAATCGGTAAAACATCAAGAAAACAAAAGAAAATTTGGTGGAATAACAATCAAACGATTAATAGTCTTATAGAAAACAAACTGAAATAAGAACGAAGAAAATATACAATTGATCCTCAATTCGAGAGGAGGATCGTTCTCTCCCAATCCCTAGACAAGAAGCCTAGATCTAGGGGTGTCAATTTTTGACACGACACGAAACACGACCCGAACCCGACCCGGAAAAATCCGGGTTCGGGTCAACCCAAACCCGAAATGGGTCGGGTTCGGGTTCATGAAATCAACCCGTTTTAAAAATCGGGTCGGGTTCGGGTTGACCCGCCAACCCGAAAATGACCCGAAAGTGACCCGAAAGTGACACGAAAACTCATTTTTGACCCGAAAACCCGAGATTGACCCGATTTTGACCCGAAAACCCGAGATTGACCCGATTTTGACCCGAAAACCCGAGATTCCCGAACAGTGCCGGGTCAGTTTCGGGTTCGACCCGAACCCGACCCGTTGACCCGAATTGACACCCCTACCTAGATCCCAAGACACCAAAGAGACTCCAAGAGAAATCCAAAATTTTGCATGCACTAACCCTAGCCTCTCTTCATCCTTAAATACAAATCTTCCTAACATAAACCAATTTAAAAAACTCTCCTTATGCACTAGTCGCCCCTTTCTCTCTCTCCTGTTGCCGCCTCAAGGGGCCCACCTGCTGGGTTAAATAAATTAAGGAGGCAGCTTAGCCCGCCTCTTGTAGAACTGGACCGACCCCTCCTATGCCGGTCTGGTTAGTTCCATAACATAGATAATTTCCCCAAAAATCCATTTCTCCCATCACACTATGCTAGAAAGAATCACATTCAAGTAGCACTCAAACAAAGAGGAAAATTCTTTCTAATCAAAATAGAATATCTGTAGATATTATTATTTTTTCTATACTTTAGTCAACTCAATTTACAAGATCAGAGAATAAAGCCGATAGTTGTATCCTGAAAGGATAAGAATTTTTGAAACCCCACACAGATATATGTGGGCTCCAAAAATTTGCGCTCCAGTTCAACTGAGAGAGTTTTGGTTGGTTTTAGGTCAAATTTTTTTAGAAGTGCGTATTAGATTTAAGATAAGACAATTCAAAGTTTTGCCCTCATTTACTGAGGATTGTATTATCATGTTCTAGGTTTTCGATAGACATAAGCCTCTATAGTTAATTATCTCTCCTGCTGATATGCGGAAACTTTCAATTAATTTTTTCATTAGAAGCTAAATGCTTAGGTATATTACAACAAATTTTGTAGGGTTAAAAATGTAACACCCCATATACCTCTTGATAGTACTGTAGAGTGTAACATGTATAATATAATATTTTCCTTTATAAACATCTGATATAATTCTTTAATTGAAAATTTATATAAAACATTCAATAATATTTCATTTGATACATCAACGAAAACAACTAATAATTTAAAACTTCAATAAAAACATACTTACAGAGCCACTAAGGAAATCCAAATAATAATTAAAATAATACATTACTGGACGTTCTACATACCTCATATGTAGAGTCACAATGTCACGACCCGGCCCGGTTAGCTCGCAAGTGCGAGGCGGGAACAGAGGTCGGACGGTAGGTCAAATATCTAACTCCTAAATCTATCAATTCTCTAAATAAATCTCCAAAATATTTTGAAAGAGCCACTATAACAATAAAATTTGAAATCACATAAACATATAAGCAAACATATTCTTCATCCTTACCTTTCTTTCGGAGCTCCTCTCCTACGGTATACGTTACCGCCTCTTCTACTCATTTGATTAATTTAAGCTTACCTGAAAATGTTAACAACTAATATTAAACTAAAGCTCAGTAAGTAATACACAATTCTAAACTACTGTAAACAAGGCAACTGAACAATATGATAGATGCTAATTTTATATGAACATAATATAAAAATGATTTCATACTAACATAACATTAAACATATCATAACATGAAGCCATATTTTTCATTTCATTTCATTTACATATTCATATCATTATACTTAGCTTTCTCTTTTCGTATATAATACAACCGTCATAGGAGTCACCGTCTAGTACCATAAATGTACTCCTTTACCATTTTTCTTTTCCATATCATTTACCATATTAACGTGCACGAGTACAGTGTCCCCAGTTAGTACCATTAGGGGGTGAACTCCATCCTTTCAGCATACACATACAAGCATTCAATATAACATTCATATCATTTCATATCAATTCATTTCATAACATAAACTTTATCAAGTAAGACCATAAAATGTACATGTAATTTGCATAATCATTCATTTGAACAGAGTAGTAAAATTATGATCTAAAATTAATCATAAAGATTGCATGAACATGTTGGGACTTTCAAAACATAGAACTGAAGAGAAACAAAAGTATTGCCGTAATAAAGAATCATATATACTTACCTGAAAATTAAAAAATTGATTTCTCCCCGCTAATCCTTCTTCCTTCGAGATTTCTTCAAAACACCTAAAAGATATAATTTCTTCTTCAAAATCATTTATAATAAATCTAAATTAATGTTCTCATTCTATTCAAAATCTATCCTAAGTTCTTCCTCTCCCTCTCTCCAAAAGATCACATAAAGCATATCATAATCTAAAAATTCATAATTTTGTCTAATTACTTAATATTAATTAACATAACACTTTCTCCATAATCTAAATTAATTTAAAATAATTCTATTTTCGGATTTACCTAAAACCCTAATTTTAGAAAATCTATTTTCATTATTTCCCTCAAATAAACATGTCAAACTCTCCCCTACACCTAAATCATAATTAAATATTTTCCATTTTCGGATTTAAACTAATTAAAAATTAGGAAAATAAGATTTTATGAGGAAAACTCAATTTCTTCTCTTAAAAACTCTCTTAGGACCCTTAGGAATAACATTTGCAAGGCACTTCCAAAAACTCCAACTTTAGAGAAAACTCTAATGTTACCAAATCTCTAAATGTTTAAAAATAAAATCTCATTTCCACGCATAAAAGCATCTATTAAACCTATCTTATCATTCTCTTAAATAAAATCCAAGTTTCCCCTCAAACCCTAAATTTTCCTTAAAGAAAAATTCTATAAAATCATGAGAAATCTATTGAAAACAACTCAACTTAACTTTCCCTTAATCTTCCCTACAAGTTTCTCCATGAACGGCCGCCGGAAATCCGCCGCCGGAGCCACCCGTCGCCTCCCATGCGATCGCCTCTTCTCTCGGTTCCGCCTCCCTTCGGTTTGTCCGACCAAATGAGCGGAAGGAATGAAAAGGGGGGTTCGGTTCTTTCATAACTTAAGGAAATAGGGATTTCAAAAGACCCTTTTGTTCTCACTTAAACTCTCCATGCCTTAATAAACACTAGGGGTACTTTGGGTATTAAGAGACTTCTCTAATTTTTATTTCCTAAATTAAGAAAATTAAATATAAGTTTTATATACCAAATTTCTTAGAATTTTGTGTAGAATTTTATAAAATTATTCCCGTCGAAATTCGACAACATTGAATTTTTCACTTAAAACTCGTCGCGGCGCTTTGAAAGCGTGCGAGGTCTAAAATGACATTTTTCGGGTTTTCACACACAACACAGATAAACATTAACATATAAAATTGAAATACTTGCAACTTAGTCAGCATCGATCTTTTCTTTTTCTTTACCTGTGAAATAACAGTAAAAAAATATATCGATGAGCTATGAGGCTCAATTAGCTTTGCAATTTAATTAACATTTAAAATACAATACTCGTAATAAATCAAAATAGTGAAATAATCATTGATTAAACTTACCCTTGTAAAACATCTTAAAATCATAATTAACATTTATA